AAGCATCAGTAATATAAACAAGGAAGATTTTTGGCGAAAGGTGTGATGGAAGCGTCACACATACAGAATGGGAGTGGAAGGTTTGTATCGACTCCCCTCAGAGCAGTGTTTCCCAGCACTTTGGTGAGAGTTTTTCCCCTGCCCCAAGCGCGGTCATCCATATTATGATAAGAGCCACATGAGCCCTCCCGGTCTAACAACAGCTGGTGACGGTGGCGGAGGTGACCTCGCGCCTCACAAAATAAAAATCCACTGTCCGCTTGCTTCAATCCTGGCGAAAGCGTTTGTATTCTCGCAGATGACTATTTTCTGTCATTCCTAGGGCAGCGCTTCGGGCTCTGTCTTGAGACACAAAGGAACAAAGAGAGAAGGGCGTCATGGACTTGAGGCACATCAGTCCATCGGCTCCCCAATGATGCGGCGGATTTCCCGAATCCCCATCCGCTGCCTTGCGGGCAGGCTATTATAACCAAAGCTGCGGTAGGGTGGCGTGCTCATCCTTACGGTCTTGGGCAACCGGGTAATATCTCGCGCCCACTGTAGCGAGACAATCGCGTGGAATTTTGAATGATAGTGTGTTGATGTTTGTTTTTTTCTTTTACTATTACTCACGTACCCTACAATTTGCGAGTCCCACTCTGTTTCTGTTGGCTGTATATGTCTAACGCGCTGTGAGATGTGATGTATATGTATTATCATAGTATTATATATATATCCCCACAGCATTGGTTTTCATGCGTGCGTAGAACACCACAACGATATAGTTTAGGTGGTCTACAGTGAGAAGCGGAACAGGCCGATTCATCAATTGTGAATCGACCTAACTTTTTTATAAAATCTGCTCTGTAGGTACCATTGTGCGTGGTATTTTCCCATCGCAGAGACCAGCAGGTGCACGAATATTTGGTCGTGTGATTACCATGATGAACTGAGTGGCGTCTATGTGCGCACGATCGCTTTTGCAAGGGCTAAAAATCTAAAAGCGGATATAACGGTATGTCGACCCCAGACAAGACTGGATGATCCTTAGGAACATAGAGTTAGCGCAATTTTTGGGATTCACATTTACATTACACTGACTCTGCAGACTGGCTACAGCAGTTGCTCCAGGCCCCTGCGTAGAAGCTTGAGTTGAATTTCTTCAGTAGTCTGCGTACAATTAAAATCACCGATGGTAGACGGTAACACCACTTAAGGTGACGTTTCCAAACGAATTCATGAACTTCCTGAAAAAATGGCCGATTGTACGACTAAGGGTGCAATGCTTAAGACTAACGATAATGGTACGAACGGGAACAGCCTTTCTCATGGCGTGTTCAGTCCATCTTTCACTACATGGACTTACTTCTAGGGGAATCTGCCATATAGGCCTTATTACATTAAGTCCTAAATTCGAGGCAAATGACCCAGTAACCATGATAAGCATACCGATAAAGAATAGATATCAGGTTCTTCCATATAGCAGTTACCGCGCTTGCATGACACGTGTATGTTTAGGGATTTTTCCGATAGTCACTTACCTGACTCTTGGATTCTGTACCACCTGCCGCTTTAATGGTGTGAAAATGGGCCCTGTGGGTCCATCAGCAGCTCTGGTACTGGCAAAACGTAGATCTACCTTTATCTACCAAACTGTTTAATCTCTGCAGGGACTGGCTACCGCGTCCACTGCGCTTATGGGTCGATGAGACCCGTAAGTTACAACCAAATTATAGGATATCTACTTATCACCCTCAAGGTCTGCTGAAGGATTCTTCATAGCAATCGTCACTATGGACCACCTTCCGTGAACCTGGATAGCGATTTCCCAGCTTCAGATATTATGCATTCTCGACACCATGGAGAAGTTATGGTTTTAATTTGAGTGCCACTGCTTAACTGTTTTGAACCCAAGAATAGATGGCTTCTGTTAACTTGCGAGGACAAACATTACGCGATCGATTAAGATCGTTATGTCCTCTGTCGAATCATTGAAAAATCTGAAGCAGCCTAACACAGGAAACGTATGAACACTTTGATTGTACTCTGCTGGTATTTACGAGCTTGGGATGCAAAGTTTCGACCAGGATAAGAAACTATATGACAGTCCAAAGTGTCGGGCTTGGAGAATAAGTCTCGCGCCACAAATACGGAGACTCGTCATTCGCAGTAAAGCATTGATTCACCACAACTACACTGTGTTCAAGCAGAATGAACTTACATGAACTTTTCCGTTCCCTCAAAACTGAAGGCCTGCCTGTACAAAAAATAGCCAGTAGTATTAACCGATCAACGTCAGCGACTCTAACCCTATCTACGCGCACGCTTGGATCATGCTGTACGCAGGTGGTTTCTCACCCTTTACTTCGTTCTCGCTGCAAGTCCGGCAGGCGCACTACTCAACTTATGATAATTATATATTTATTGATAAATTATAATTAACTATAATGCATTAGTAACTTGTGATAAAGGATGTATCTAAGCCTTGCCACCAATGGACTATGTTTACATTTCGGTGAAGAACTGAGTACGGACGAGCGATGCAACTTCCACATTGAAAGCGCAGAGTTGAATCCAACAGGTCTGAGACGACGTTTACCCGTGGAGTCAGATAAACGTTTCTGGTGACTATTATTCGGTGTGGACGATGCGTGATCGCCATCTGACATTAAAGAGAATTGTTGATTGAGCCAGCACGTCGTTATTTGCTTCTAGCAATATAAGCCATTGCTACTTTGGCAGATCTGCAAATATACCTTGTTAGCTGGTCAGGTGTACTGAGCATTTCGAGAAAATTCTTGGTAAACGTCTTGGAAAATTTTCACACTATTGCGCATTTTAACTGCCTTCGTACGATTTGTCTCCAGCCAGAGTGTATCAGATTAAACATAGATTGGCTTGAAGCATCGCAGTTATAAAAATCAAATCACGAACTGACTGGTTTGGCAGACGTTGCAGGAAGTTAGCACTTGGACGTATTCTGCCAATAAGACATTTTCGGTAGCGAAATAATCAGGTATTAGGATTTATCGGCTCCTGAAATAGTATTTCTTTGCTGACATGGGGATATTATAACAGATGCTTGCAAATTGAATGAGCGTTACTACCTATAATAATCAGAAATCGCTGCGTTTACAATTCCTCTTGTTTTTCAAACTTCGTAAGCCGCCAAAGCTCAAAGAGCTGGAGGTATTCCACGGTTTCTTGTTAGGAAGCAATTAGGCCTAATATTTCACTATTTGGATTCATCAGGAACTTGGTATTTGTCACGACGCCGATTGTTTACTTATAGAATCTGGAATATGGCAAAGCCCTCCTTGAAGCAAGTTTCGATATAGCAGGAAAAAAAGAAACGTTAATTAGAATTACGCGTTTAATATTATTCAGTATCATGAGGAATATAACACAGGAAATGTCAAGTATAACGATATTTACAACCACTACACTGAATTGCACGAAGTCAGACATTACAATCCAGAAACTATCCTTTTCTTATCGCGGCATCTGTGCTTTTCGGGTTACGCATAATTTTGACTGGTACCCTACCCGTTAGGCTAATAAATTGCCCAAACAGTTAACTAAATCTGTATTGGAACTGGTATTATTATTAAGGCGGTATCGGTCCCTGTAATTGGTCAGACCCACAGTTACTCCTCATCCATCTCACTCGACAATTGTGCAGTTTTCTATCCATCATATTTTCAGACTATCTTTATTTTTATCGTAACGTTCGGAATAACATGTGAACCAGTAAGCCATACTTCGACGTTTATGTCATCGTTGCATGAACTGACCAGAAGGTTGAGTTCTTTTACTATGTTTATTATGTGTATACATGTAAACGTTGATTGTGGAATACTGGTAATATATGAATGCAGTGCGGACGTATGCTGCCTGTTTTATTCTTACAATCTCGTGCCAGTCTAGCCTTGAGAAGAAACATCAATGGATAAAAATGAATTATGAACTACGTCAACTTCGTCGGTTTACTTTTCATCAATTTATAACTACCAGTTGGATCCAAAGCAGCATAAATAAAAATCCTTTATACTTTATGATATCAGTGCAAAGCATGTCATTACTGTTGAGTGTTTGCAATGATTCGGAATACTTGTAGCTCGGGTTCGTAATTAACGTTTTGAATCGTTCTCCGAGCTGAGTAATTTAATGTCAAACGTTTCACCACTTCCCTCAGTGGCATCTTCAGTGTACAGCTCCGCAGGGGAAATCGCACGGAAAATGTCGTTGGGACGTAGCGTTTGAAAATAGCCTCGTCGATCTGTGTCCCGTGACCTCTGTTTGTTCGATACTTAGCCGTCCAGCTTCACGCTTTCTCAGCTGTAAGTACACGGGATCGAGATCAATGCGGAGGTTCAGGGAATTCTCCGTAGAGAACCATGCCTCGAGGAATTCCCTTCCTTTTCTTGTCCCTCCGTGCGCCAGAATTTTTGTTTTGTCCCAGTTAACATTGTGTCCTTCCTCATCCAGGTGTGCTGAGATCTGTGACGATACATAATGATATCGACACGCACGCTTGTGCTCTTTTATTCTTGTGGATAGTTTTCTCCCCGTTTGACCTACATAGTCTTTGTCGCAATTCTCGCATTTTATCCTGTAGATGACATTTTGGTGTTCTTGTGCCTCCAGTCTTTCTTTAGGTCTAGATAATATTCTTTTCAAAGTCCCAGTTGGTATGTGAGCTATCGTCAGGTTGTGCGGTTTGAGGAGTCTGGCTGTCTTTTCCGATATGTTTTTGATGTACGGCAAGGCGATGTGTTTCGTCGTCGTTGGTGCAGGTGTGGTAGTTGTGCTCCTTCGGTTTAGGTGTCTTCGGATGAAACTGCGTGGGTAGCCGTTACGAATAAAAGACCTAAACAGATGTTCTTCTTCCTTACGTTTGGCCTCTGCAGTATTGCAATGCGTTTCTATCCTACGAAACAGGGTCCGTATACAACTTATTTTGTGACACTTAGGATGATTGCTGTTAAAGTTTAGGATTTGGTCGGTGTGTGTTGCTTTTCTGTAAACTGATGTCTGTAATTCGCCTTCTACCGTTCTGGTGACCAGCACGTCCAAAAAGGGTAGTTGGTTTTCCACCTCCTCTTCTATGGTGAAACAAATGCCTTCCATTGCATTGTTAAGTAGGTCTTGTGCGGTCTGTAGCTGGTTGCGTTTGAGAATCACAAACGTATCGTCAACGTATCGCACCCATAATTTCGGACTAAGGACTGGGAGTATATCCTCTTCCAACTTCTGCATGACGACTTCTGCAATGAGTCCAGATATGGGGGATCCCATTGGGGCTCCTCTAACTTGCTCGTAGAACACTCCGTTGAATTTGAAGTAAGTAGTAAGACACAAGTCGAGTAGCTTGCATATGCTTTCAGTTGTTAGCTTCCCAGTCGTTTGTCCTACATTATTCAGACGTTCTTTGATATTTTCTTTCGCTATCTGTAAGTTGATGGAGGTGAAAAGTGCGGTGACGTCAAAGGATACCATCACTTCTTCATGGTCTATCCTTATGCATTTGAGCTTTTCCAAAAACTGATGAGCATTACTGATGGAGTATTGCGATCCGTTGGTCAGATGTTTGAGGCCCTTCCATAATTCTTTAGCCAAGTTGTAAGTTGGTGTACCTGGGAGTGATACTATTGGTCGTAGCGGCACACCCTCTTTGTGTACTTTAGGAAGCCCGTAAAACTGTGCGATGTTTGGATCACGAGCCTTCATTCTATCATACTCTCCCTTTGTGAGTTGACTTAATTCTTGCAGTTTCTTAAGTGTCTTATTCACTTTATTTGTCAGTTTACAGAAAAGCAACACACACCGACCAAATCCTAAACTTTAACAGCAATCATCCTAAGTGTCACAAAATAAGTTGTATACGGACCCTGTTTCGTAGGATAGAAACGCATTGCAATACTGCAGAGGCCAAAAGTAAGGAAGAAGAACATCTGTTTAGGTCTTTTATTCGTAACGGCTACCCACGCAGTTTCATCCGAAGACACCTAAACCGAAGGAGCACAACTACCACACCTGCACCAACGACGACGAAACACATCGCCTTGCCGTACATCAAAAACATATCGGAAAAGACAGCCAGACTCCTCAAACCGCACAACCTGACGATAGCTCACATACCAACTGGGACTTTGAAAAGAATATTATCTAGACCTAAAGAAAGACTGGAGGCACAAGAACACCAAAATGTCATCTACAGGATAAAATGCGAGAATTGCGACAAAGACTATGTAGGTCAAACGGGGAGAAAACTATCCACAAGAATAAAAGAGCACAAGCGTGCGTGTCGATATCATTATGTATCGTCACAGATCTCAGCACACCTGGATGAGGAAGGACACAATGTTAACTGGGACAAAACAAAAATTCTGGCGCACGGAGGGACAAGAAAAGGAAGGGAATTCCTCGAGGCATGGT